TAGGTATTAAAAGCAATTCTACTTTTATTAGGGTCACGATCCATACCTTGTTCTAAAAAGAACAGATTTCACTCAATTAAATTGAAGACGCAAAAGGGTTTAAACAAAATTTACAACAATGACACGAAACTGTCGAATTATCAATAACCTAACCTTCAAATTCAAAATCAAAATTCAAAATTGCCTGTGTGTGAACCTTCCTCGCATTCAACCAATCACGTGCAAGGTCAATCTGGTGACAAATTTAAAATACTCCTCCTGGTTTAAAAACAGAGTATAACAAAAACGCGAATCATTGAACAACATAACAGTATAAATTGGATTATTGGCCTTAAAAAGTTTATTTCTCAACCATTTTACCACATCGCATTTTTTCCAAACAATATTTCCATTAAAATATTACTTATTTATTTTTATTTCTAGATCACCACAATGGAGATATCAGTGCGTCGAAGGAACATGTAAAAAATTTCGTTTAACGCCGGAAACCAAAGAATCGGCTGTAAGTTTACCTGCGTGCAGATTATTTTGTCACGATAAAGCAGGATTATGGCCGATTCCAAGTGGATCTTTTAGAATAGGACAAACTTTAACCCGATTAAACGTGAACAGTATTGATATATCCGGACCTAGATCAGATACAAAAAGTCACAACCTCGTAACATTGGCCAGACAAAGATTTATCCACGCCGTGAATAAAATCGAACCGAACGGGAATCAAAAAGCCGGTGGCAGATCTTTATTTGCTCATTTAAAGGTGACGAATCCAAATGTTGATAGATTGGAATTAAGTACGGATGAAGGATATACATTGGAAGTTACGGAAAGTTCCGATGGGCGAATAAATGCTACCGTTGTAGCTGATAATTATTTTGGTGCAAGACATGGTTTAGAAACTTTAAGCCAATTGATTATATACGACGATATTAAACGGGAATATCAAATGGTGAAGGACATTTATATACAAGATAAACCGCATTATCCATACAGAGGATTAATATTAGATACCGCTAGAAATTTCATGTCCGTCGATGCTATTAAAAGAACTATCGAAGGAATGGCCATGTCAAAATTAAATACTTTCCACTGGCACATTACTGACAGTCACAGTTTCCCATACGTCTCGAAATCGAATCCTTATTTATCCGAACTTGGAGCTTATTCTTCAAAAATGATTTACGATAAAGATACGGTTGCTGATATTATTGAATTTGGGAAAGTCAGAGGAGTTCGTGTTATGCCCGAATTTGATGCGCCAGCTCATGTTGGGGAAGGTTGGCAAGATACAGGATACGTAGTTTGCTTCAATGCGCAACCTTGGCAAGATTATTGCGTTGAACCACCATGCGGGCAATTAGATCCAACTAAAGAAGGAATGTATGATGTAATAGAAGGTACTAAAATAAAATGTTTAATGATTTTCTATTTTAATTTATAATTAATTTTTTTAGGTATCTACAAAGACATGATAGATCAATTTAATCCAGATATTTTCCATATGGGAGGTGATGAGGTAGCTTTCCAATGTTGGAATTCAACCAGTCACATAGTTGAATGGATGAATGAAAGGGGATGGTACAACGATAAAGCTGGCTTTTCGAAACTTTGGAATGTATTCCAATCGGAAGCGTTAAAACGTTTCGATAAACATGCGAAGAAAAAAGATACTCCCATCATCATGTGGACTAGTTCTTTGACCGAAAAAGATTACGTTCACGAATATTTACCTAATGATCGATACATCATCCAAATTTGGACGACGCGTAATGACCAACACATCCAAGATTTACTCGATTTAGGATACAGATTAATTCTTAGTAATTACGACGATATGTACTTAGATTGTGGATTTGGTGGTTGGGTTGATAGTGGTAATAATTGGTGTAGTCCTTATAAAGGGTGGCAACAAATTTATAATAACAGCCCTAAAGAGTTAGCTGGTGATAGAGCTAATCAAATGTTGGGAGCAGAAGCCGCCTTATGGACCGAACAAGTCGATAGTACATCAATTGACAGTCGAATATTCCCTAGAATTTCCGCTATGGGCGAGAGACTATGGTCGGAGCCTAACACTAATTGGAGATTTGCTGAAGAACGTATGTTGGTTCATCGCGAAAGATTAGTTAGCATGGGAATTAATGCAGATGCTTTAGAACCAATGTGGTGTTCACAAAACGAAGGATCATGTCCGATACATCGAGTTCGTTAAAAAATTAAAACGATTTAATGTGATTTAATAATATTAAAATTAAGTATTAATAAATTTTATTGACTCAAATTATTCTTCTGTTTCTTAAGTATCTTTAATTGCGTTATTAGTATTTTATAGTAATTTTTAAAACTTAATCGGCGAAAATTGCAAAATTCGAAAAAATTGTTGATCATTCCAAAAATTTATTTCTCAAGAACTAAAAATGATTATTCAAAACGGCTTTTTGCATTAAAAAGAGAATACTTTAATTAATAATTGGTGATATTTCCACAAGGATCTTTCAAGAAATTAATTTTCTAGCGAATTTTGAAAATTNGAAAATTGCAACATCGAAAATTTTATCAAAACTTCAAATATTGTTTTCTCAAAAACTAAAAGTTATTTTACAAAATGGGTTGGTTCATTGGAAAGGGGACACTTTTGTTAACACTTTGGGAAATTTTCATACTCATATTCCAAGAAATGGATTTTATACAAATTTTTAAAACTTAATCGGCGAAAATTGCAATATTGGAAAAAATTTTCGATCATTTCAAAAATTTATTTCTCATGAACTGAAATTTATTTTTCAAAACGGCTTGTTGGATTAAGAAGAGGATACTTTAATTAATAATCGAAAGTGATAACTATGGGTCGGAGCCTAACACTAATTGGATATTTGCTGAAGAACGTATGTTGGTTCATTGAGAAAGATTAGTTAGAAAATTCGTTAAAAAATTAAAACGATTTAATGTGATTTAATAATATTAAAATTAAGTATTAATAAATTTTATTGACTCAAATTATTCTTGTTTCTTAAGTATCTTTAATTGCGTTATTAGTATTACTATTATCAGCTCTTGGTATAACACAACATCTAACAATATCACAAAGCCACAGTGATAAATACTGCGAAATTCCCCGTTTAGACGGAACATCTTGCATATACCACACTTCCGGTTCTTCTTCAAATCCCACTTTTGTTTTTGGTCTAATTAACAATCTCCCCCCTTTCTTCAACTTCCTTGTTTTTACAGTAACAATAGGATAGCTAACATTTGAATTTGCCCTATACACTATATGCTTCGTTTGCGCGATAACATCCTTAGGTTTATACATAATTTGCTTCTTGGACGAATTATCTGTAGTTATTGATTTGTTACCGGACTTGTTGGTAATAATATTTTTAAACGGATACATATTTTTGGGGTTATTATCTTTAGTTAATTGATTATAGTTTTTTCTTGTAGTATCTTCAGTTGTTGAATCAGTATTTTTAGTATCGATGGGATAATTTTTGCTTGTATCCCTAATTGTAGGCTCAGCACCTCCAAGTTTTGAGTCAGTATTTTTATTGGTATTTCTAGTTTTGAAAGGATAATTCTTTTTTGAACCCCCATCTTTAATTTTAGATTGATCAATTGTAGATTCGGCACCTCCGGGGTTTGAGTCAGCATTTTTATTGCTATTTTTCATTTTGAAAGGATAATTATTTTTTGAACTACCATCTTTAATTTTAGATTGATCATAGTATTGATCAATTGTAGATTCGGCACCTCCGGATTTTGAGTCAGCATTTTTATTGCTATTTGTCATTTTGAAAGGATAATTATTTTTTGAACCCCCATCTTTAATTTTATATTGATCAATTCTAGATTCAGCACCTCCGGATTTTGAGTCAGCATTTTTATTGCTATTTCTCATTTTGAAATTATAATTATTTTTTGAACCCCCATCTTTAATTTTAGATTGATCATAGTATTGATCAATTGTAGATTCGGAACCTCCGGGTTTTGAGTCAGCATTTTTATTGCTATTTGTCATTTTGAAAGGATAATTATTTTTTGAACCCCCATCTTTAATTTTATATTGATCAATTCTAGATTCAGCACCTCCGGATTTTGAGTCAGCATTTTTATTGCTATTTCTCATTTTGAAATTATAATTATTTTTTGAACCCCCATCTTTAATTTTAGATTGATCATAGTATTGATCAATTGTAGATTCGGAACCTCCGGGTTTTGAGTCAGTGTTTTTATTGCTATTTTTCCACAAGGATCC